AAAACTCCAAACCATCCTCCGTTCTCATACATTGCCTTATATCACAGAGTGATGCAACAGGATGCAAGCTGGATGCCTTCCAGATAAACCTCTCAAGGGCCATACACTCACCCTCCTGCCAGCGGTCGGTCCTTGGGACCAGACCACAGCTAGTCGAAAGTGGGGGGAAAAATGAGCAAATAAAGAACCCGGGAATACACAGAGAGTGTACATAAAGTTCTCATAGCAACTTTTTTCTTCTGCAAACCCAATTTTATGGTTTTGCAGTGCCTACTAACGCAGACATAGCCCCCAAATATAAGACAAGGTGAGAGATGGAGAGCAGTAAAATGGCCTCAATGGCCTGTGGGGTTTGGGATTGGCACTGGTTGGGTCTGACTGTATGTCCATTCCTGTTTTCCCCATTACTTTTTAGTTGTCAGTGCACCGGGGAAAGATCACTGCTTGTTTGTTTTTTTAGTGTCTTAGTAAGATTCCAATGACATAAAGGAAAATCAGCCATAGTGCTGAGCAAGAGATTTCCACCTGTGTTGGAGGAGCTGTTTGTATAACTCTGTATTTTCACTGCATTATTGAAACAGTATAAATGACAGCGTTTGACTTGTGAGTGTATTCATTTTTAAAGGCCGTGAAAAAGGAAAATTCCCAGTAATTTCCACTGACAGTTTTCTTCCCTTTTCACTGTAGCTAATTTAGTTGGTTGAAGCTAAGGATTTCATCTAGAATGCTTCCATTATGAGAACCAAAGAGATTTTTGTTTGTTTGTTTGTTTGTTTGTTTGTTTGTTTGTTTGTTTGTTTTTGTTTTGTTTTCTTTTTTTACTTCAGAAAACTCATTTTGAAGAAGCATTAGTGGCAATGCTAATTTCAAGTCACAAAGCAAAACAAATCAAGAACTCTTTTGGGTCCCTTTTATTATCATAAAATGATATATTTAATAAACTAAAATAGTAAGAAAATTTATTAGATTCACTTTGTTTAAAACAAATCAAGATAAAAGCAGTTTATTGATTTCTTAGCGACAGATAATTAACTGGCGATCAGTAATCTGTATGTAACAGTGATACAACAGATAAACCACCATATGAGGCACTTACAAACAGATAGTAAACAGCTACAAATTTCTGAACAGTCTTGTATAACTAATCCCCTAAATGTTTAGTCACACGCCATACACCTATGCACATACCCATGCATGCAGATGTGCGTCTGGCTGCTCCTCAGTTCTGTCATTCACCAGCATCCCAGGGAACACAGGTTCCCCCATGGTACCCATGGGAGATGCAGGTGCCTCTACCAGTACTTGAGGTCCCCATGGAATCCTGGCATGGATGTCCACACACTGCTTCATCTGGTCACCCACTGCTTGGTGCAGGTGCCCCACAGGGCAATGTTTTGCCCGATTGGGATGGTGATCATGACAATAGGGCAACTTCTCCCAATGTTCAGCCCAGTTTGGGTGCTGCCCTGTTCCTATTTTCATCACTGCTACAAAGTGTCATGCATTTTACATGTCCTTTCGAGTGGATTTTTCTTTGCTTGCAGACAGCTTCTCTTCAGTCTCTAATTTCCTGGCTCCTCTTCACTCCAACTGATGAGCATTTTCTCCTTCAGCATTTGCAGTCTGGAGTAGATGCCTTTGCAGCCAGTTGTGAGTCTTCCATGTACACATGTACGCAAGCCCCTATTTGTCTGCTCTTTTTGTTTTGCAAAGGGGGTCATGTGGACAACCCTAGAACTTAAAATTGGAGGGAGGAAGTTTCATAAAGTCAAGAAGTGAATATCAGAGTTGATACATTTCTGTGTCATTATGTAGAAGAAAACCCTTTGTGTATTCAACTATTATAACTACTTCTTTTTTTTTTGTAAGAATAGTGAGAAGTACTTCCAGATTCTGGTAAAATCCTGGCTAAGGGATTTTCAGATCACAGACTTGCCTTCAAATCATGCCATATAATAAAACTGCAAATATTTTTTACAGCACGTTTAGAAACACATACCTAACAACCACAAAGGATAAATCCCCATTTCAAAAAAAAAGCTGCATTTGTTTTGGCTCTTAGGATTTTAGAGTTACACATGAACATACTGCTGCTAAATCTTCATGGTGGCCATACAAAGAAAGCCTTCTGCTGTTGTTGTGTATTTCTGGACAAATAGTCACTCCTTGACTGAATTTCTTAAAATGTCTTTGAAGAAATATTTTGATTTGGTATTCAGAACATGAACATTTATATATCCTCATCAAGAAAAATAGATTTATGAATTCATTTTGTATCATGTGGGGCTGACACTTCACTTTGATGACTAGCTTTTAAATTAGACAGATTGCTTGTGCAATTAATGAGAAACAGCAGAGAACTGTGGAAATAAAAAGAAAAAAACTTCAGATATTCATTGATTGCAGTTTCACTCAGTCACCTTTTAGTACATTTGGAAGGAATTCAAAATCACAGAGATCAACCAGCTTTAGCTTGATATTGCTAGAGGAGCTAAAATGTGTTTAGGCTCTGAATATTAATTACTACTCTGCTTTAAAGGTTACAACAATCACTTTTTCCTAGGGAGGTCATAGTCCTGATTGAATAAAGGCTTAATTATAGAATATTATAGAATATTGCAGTGAATTGCAGCAACAAAACCAGCAAGTGGTTTATTCTTTCTTTGGCAATCTTAAGAAGATAATAAAGGTATGTGTAAAAGAGAAAATCTGTGAAAAAGAAGAGGGGGGACAATTATAGATTACTAGTTTGTTTGTTTGGTTGGTTTGTTTTGTTATTGAACATTTGAATGGAAACAAAGTAAGATTTTACTAGTCTTCTAACTCTTGTGGTTGGTATTATTAATTTTTTTTTTTTTTTCCATGAGAAAGCTACATCAAATACTAGGTAATAAAGGTATGATTCATATTACTGCAGATTAAAGCAACTGTTTTGTGATAAATGCAGGGGCTCATGAGACACTTGGAGACATTGAATACCTATTAATAATATCTAATTAAATATAAAAAGGATTTATTTTTCCTGGTGCAAGATAATACATTTCATTTAACCATGGACAAATTCACATGTAGAAATTTGTGGCACCAAAATGTAGAGTATATAGTTTTTGAAGTTTGGAGTATGGTCTTGAAGTTTGGAGTATGGTCTTTATGTTATATGATTTGAGGCTGTATTTATATCTCATGGGAGGAATTTTGCCATAGAAAGCAATGTAGAAATCCAGGTGTGATGAAGTCTGGCAGCTCTGATTTCTTCTACTTCCCTCCTCTTGTTTTTGCTCCTCCCCTTCAGTTTCCTCTATTTCTATTAATTTACTGACTTTAACCTTGTGAATCTTCATTCTACCCATCACTAGACAAATAAACATAGCCAGCACAAAAGAAAATCTATTCCTTGCTGCCTAAGGAGCTCAAATGTACTGCAAGTCCTTTTTCCCTAGGGAACTCTGACTTCCTTCACAACCCTTCCTATGAGCGCAGAGGTGTTTCAACCCTTCCTGGGAGCACAGAGATGTTTTCATGGCATACTGAGGTGCCTTACAGGATTACAGACCATGAATCTCCTTTTCATTTCATGTCCTTGCATCGTTTTCAGGGCTGCAGATCTCCTGAGTCCTGAGGCCCTCTTCTGGTAAATGGATCTGAAGTTATCACTGACTTGGAAGCGCCCATAAGTGATTCCTTGCTTCCTCTTGATAAGTAGTTGTCAGTGGTGCCTAAATCAGTAGTGTCCATCTGCTAAAAGATATTTCTAATAGACCTCTTTTTTCCACTTGCATGACGTGAGAAGGGAGTGAAAAAGAGGAGTGCAAGTACATGACTCTGTGTGGTAATTTGCACATAGCACAAGGTCCAGACTGTGAGTGATAGGTGGAGTGGATAAGGGTAATGTTATGAGTTAGCAGGTTGCAGAAAAGCAAAATTAATCTCAGTCCTAGTCTCTTGGTCATTTTGTTCTGAGTTTCAAGACAAGTTCCAAGTGTGTCATGCTTTTTTTTTTCTAAAATCTGATAAGCACAGTGTGGGGAAAAAGAAATAGCAGCACGGCTTTTCCTGAAATTTCCAAGGAAAGAAATAAAGTCTGATTTGTGCAGATAAAATCTCCTACCAAAGGTTGAAATGTTGTGGATTTACCTATTACTTTCGTAATAAATATCCTTTCCAAAAATGGAATTTTTCTTTGACTATTTTTTTTCTTTGACTTTTCCTATTCCTTTTATTTTTTCTTCATGTTTTCTGTTTCTGAATGACTATCTGTATCTCATGTAAATAGCTTATATACTTGTAGACTGTATTTTATGCATAATTTAGAATAATTTTGGTCCATGGAAAGAGACATTTAATTGACTATTTTAGGAAGCACTGTCCTTTACTGAAAGAACTCCTATACCTCTTCTACCTGAAAGCTGTCTTTGCACAAAAGAAAACTACATTACTCATGTATAGAATCATAGAATGCCGAAGGTTGGAAGAGACCTCAGAGGTCATCGAGTCCAACCCCCCTGCTCATGCAGGGTCACCTAGAGCACGTGGCACAGGGCTGCATCCAAGCGGGTTTTAAAGATCTCCAGAGAAGGAGACTCCACAACCTCTCTGGGCAGCCTGTTCCAGTGCTTTGTCATGTACAGTTATCAAATATTTAAAATCTTCAATTTCTGTTGTTTCTTTGATAAAGAGTTGTTTCTAAGACACACACACACACACACACACACACACACACACACACACACACACACACACACACACACAAAATCTCTGCAGTAAGAGAAACAAGTCAGAACCAAACAGCATACAAAATGAGTTCCAATGCTTGCGTTGGAGACATTTAACTAGGACTATGACCTTTAAAAAATGAAGTAAAAAAAAAGCCCAGAAGATGAAAACATGGGAATATGTGTTGTGAATATGTGGATATACTGTAAGTAACTCTGTAGCTGGTGAGCTAAAATTATCTTTTCTTTTTTCTTTTTTCTTTTTTCTTTTTTTTTTTTTTTTCCATTATAGGTTTTCTGAGTACTGGGGATCAAGCTGCAAAAGGCAATTATGGATTGCTTGACCAAATCCAGGCTTTGCGCTGGATTGAAGAAAATATTGGATCCTTTGGAGGCGACCCAAAAAGAGTTACTATTTTTGGATCTGGGGCAGGAGCTTCCTGTGTTAGTCTCCTGACACTTTCTCACTATTCAGAAGGTAACGATCTTAGGAGCAGAACAAAGTAGTTTGGTTATGATTCTTTTTAAATCCAGTGTGCTTTTTTTTTTTTTTTTTTTGACATTGTAGTGTAAAGCAAATGGCCATATAATGGCAGACCCTTGGAATTATGTGAAGTCTATAATTTTTGTGAAACATATTCTAGATATGCATTCAGATTAGTTAACAAAAATATTTTTGACATGAAGAAATAAAGAATGTTATTATATAATATATATAATACATAATACATAATATAATATTATAAATCTTATGCAAAAATTTCTGTGAGCAATATGCAAGATTTATTACCATTCTCCACTGACTGTTCTATTAAAGAATTTGCCCTAATTACAATGGAAAAAAGCAACGACTTTTATAACTTAATCAGATTCAAAAATAATTTCAAATCTCATAAGTAGTGTGTGAACCTACAAAAAGGTCTTAATATTTTTATAAGTGTCTGAGCTGCGGGACTACTCTCTCTCTCTCTCTCTCTCAAAGAAAAAGGATAGATACATACATATATATGTATGTATGCACATGTACACGCATACAGCAGCAGCACTGAAATTTTCCCTGTATGTGCAGGGCATTTGGACTGGATGATCTCTAAAGGTCCCTTCCAATGTTAAGGATTCTATGATACTATGATTAAGAATTCTACGAATCATACAGATTCTTATTGGTATGGTGAGCTCTGTAAAGAACTAGTAAAAAAAAGACAAGACCAAATAACTGCTATGTTTATAAATCTCTGCTCCTTCTATTATATTAAACATCTGGAAATCTATGTCAGAAGGCTAGGCTGCTGCAGGCATTTGTAGCAGAGCTACTACTAAGAACACCTTACTTGGAAGCATGTAGAATTATCCTTGAGACTTCAATGTACTGATACAAATAGGATGCATTAAATAACTGTTAAGTAAGTCATGCCAAGAGCATAGATGGAGCAGTGAAAAAACTAACTGCAGGACTGAAATTTTGTAGTGTGTGCAGTAAGTAATCATCACAAAGGTATTTCAACCAAAGCCATTTTTCCCTATAAATGCTTCACTTTTTTATGTTTCTGCTGTCTTAGGCATTTCAAGAGTTCATCATTGGAAACTATGTGCAAAAGAGACTCATGTATTTTAACTTAAGTATAAAATGGGCCACTTTAGCGATCCTACCGAGTAAAAAGAGGTGGGACAGATTCACCGGTAGATATTTTTCAGTACTCTGGTGACATAAAAGAGCTCTTCAGTTTGTATCTTTGGTCTATAGAAAACAACCAGAAAGGACCATTGAATTTAGTCCTATTCTCTTAAAAAAAAACATATTTTAATTAAATATTAAAAATAAATAGCAATATAAATATTAAGTTTAATATGTATAAAATAATTATATTTTATTTATATAAAGTACACATATAGACACTGCTAACCAAATAAAAATAAAAATATATATACATATCCACAGCCATATGGATGGTAATGAAAAAATGATGACAGAGCAGAATACCTAAGCCTATTAAATTGATTTTAATACAGGAGATGAGGAGATTTTTCAAATTATATGATGCACAGCTTCCATGAAGGAAATGAGAGTGTAATTTTCATTTGACCTTTAAACTACTGAGTGCATTTATGAGAATCATTTACATGGAGAAGAAAATATGATTGCTTGTAGCTGCCACTCCTTTAAAGAAGAAAGTTTTACAGCACTATCGATGTTATAAAACTAGGAGACTTCCATTAAGAAAGCTACATTAAAAGCATGAGTTTTATTGTTCAAACAGCAGCTTGAAACCTTCATGCTTTCTGTGCATGAGCACTAAGAACAAAAGACATTTTAATTAGTAGGCTCTTGGAGATGCTATAGAAGGGGAGAAGTGAATGGAATATATGGAAATTCAGTTGAATTATTGAAATTTGTATACTCTAGGTATCATACAATCAAAGCATTCTTTGCCTAGAGAAAGCTGCTTTTATTTATTTTTTAAATATAATTTAATTTGTATTTAAAAAATTTGCACCTGCAGGTTTGTTCCAAAAAGCAATCATACAGAGTGGAACAGCCCTGTCCAGCTGGGCAGTGAACTATCAGCCTGCCAAGTACACTCGGATATTGGCAGATAAAGTGGGCTGCGACATGCTAGATACTACTGATTTGGTTGAATGCCTTCGGAATAAGAACTACAAAGAACTCATTCAACAGACTATCACTCCAGCCACATACCACATTGCCTTTGGGCCCGTGATTGATGGAGACGTGATTCCAGATGACCCTCAGATTCTCATGGAGCAAGGGGAATTCCTAAACTATGACATAATGCTGGGTGTCAATCAAGGCGAAGGTTTAAAATTTGTTGATGGTATTGTAGACAATGAAGATGGTGTTTCACCCAATGACTTTGACTTTTCTGTCTCCAATTTTGTGGACAATCTATATGGTTATCCAGAAGGGAAAGATACTCTGCGAGAGACTATTAAGTTCATGTATACTGACTGGGCAGACAAAGAAAACCCTGAAACAAGACGGAAGACCTTGGTAGCTCTTTTTACTGACCACCAGTGGGTTGCTCCTGCTGTGGCCACCGCTGACCTTCATGCCCAATATGGATCTCCAACATATTTCTATGCATTTTATCATCACTGCCAAAGTGAAATGAAACCAAGCTGGGCTGATTCAGCTCATGGTGATGAAGTCCCTTATGTATTTGGGATTCCCATGATTGGTCCCACAGAGCTGTTCAACTGCAACTTTTCCAAGAATGATGTCATGCTCAGTGCAGTAGTAATGACGTACTGGACAAACTTCGCCAAAACTGGGTATGTGTGACCTCCAGCATTCCTTTTCCTTGATAACAAGCTTCTGAAATATTCAGTGTTGTACAGCAGTGCATTCAAACACTGATCTCTCTACAGTGTTACAGCACTATTCGAGGCAATATGTAACTGGGTCTTATTCATATTTAATAGTTTTTTAACTGGTGTGTTCCTTCAAACTATTTTCTTTCACTAGATCAGCAATAAGAACAATGCTCTGTAGCTTTGATTAAAAAAATAGGGCAATTATTATTGAAAATGCATGTTTCTGAGACAAAAGGCTAACTAACTAACTAACTAACTAAGTGTTTCAGCACTAACATGCTGAAAATCAGAGAATATGTCTATTACTTGAAAAGGAGCCATGAAGCAGATAGCACTTATTTTGTTAGAAAAATAAGGAAGTTTTAAGGGACTTTCATGGGACTGAGAACTCAGGAAAGATGTGAATCAGAAAGAGAGACACTGGAAAGAATATTTCCTTTGAAAGTTATAAAGGCAGTAAGAATTAATTTGCTAGAATCAAGAAAAGAGTCATATATAAAATATGTTTCCAGACAGTTAAAAAATTAAAATTTAAATTATCAAAACGTTAAGGACATGAATGTTTTGCTGCAATGGAGTTGTAAACATCAAGGAAAGAATCCTCAAAGCAGCTTAATATGCAAGTCGTATTAATAACTTATGTACTCTAAACCCCCTTTCTGTAGCATTCTTCTAAAGAGTATTGCAGTGCTTTGCTTGAACAGCAAGGGCTTTATTGTTAACCTTGAGTCTTCAGTACTGAATTAAAATAAAGATACTTGTAGCATAAAGGGGCTGTAAATCTTTCCAATGAATGTTTAATGGCAGGATTGGGCTCTGGAAACTGCAGCTTTACTGCAGTGCAGTGAATGGTATGTAGCAATATAAGAAAAATTCAGCATGCCTAGTGTTCTAACACTCACGGGATTCAGCAGCTCTAGCAGCTTTTAATGAATCCAAATGACATTCTAGCAAGGGAGATTTTGCAGTCTTAACAAAAAGCTGGGGCATGAATTGAGTGAAAAAAAAATCAAATGCCTCAGATCACTTTACAAGACAAAAAGAAACCTTTTGTTTCACTGCATGCTAGATGAACAGGTACTTTTGCACGAAGAAATCTCACTGTAAAGCAACACAGAAAAGGAAGAGCAGGATGCTTAGATGTGTTGCACAACAAGCAGTTTATCAGTACTGGGATGAACAAGCTTCAGGGTGAAAGCTTGCTTTATGGACAAAGGATGTGGTATGCTGGCTGTATTGCAAACTGTGAAAGATGTTACCAGCATTCTGCCATTGTTATTGTGAATGGAAAATAGAACTACCGATTTTAGCAAATACCCAATTTAATGATTATAGAGTTGTGAGATCTTCACTGTGTCAATACTATTTACAATGTCTTTCTATATATTTTTTACACACACAAACACACACACACACACACACACACACACACACACACACATACATACACTTTTATATATTTTTATATTATCTTTTGTTCCCTGTAGAGTCACATTTAGGTGGTTTACAAGGCTGACAGGAACTTCTCACAGCCTCACTGCTATTTTTATTTATATTTATAAACAGCTACAAGGTATTGCTAATTGAAAACTAATTTCAGCAAGCTGTACATACCATCATCAAGTTCTCTGGCTATGAACCCATGATCACCCTATACCTGGAGAAACCGCAAATAGTTTGGGAGGACTATTAATCATTTCTGATGTTTTCTCATTGCCTGTTGGCACAGCAAATAGATATGAAACAGAAGTGGAGGATATATTCTGTTAAAAAATCATCCTTTTACAAATAGTTTGAAAGATGTGTCATTTATAAAAGACCTATATCTGTAAAATTTATATTGTTGCAAGGAAAAGAAAAGAGCAAGGAGAGGCATATTACCTCCTTTACCTCCTTTTTTTTTTTTTTTTCCTTCCTTCCTTTCTTCCTTCCTTCCTTCCTTCCTTCCGTCCGTCCGTCCGTCCGTCCGTCCTCTATTCCTTTGGTTTATATGAACAATAATTAATTGTTCTGGATAGTTCAAGAGGATACTAGGAAGTAAAGCATATTTAAAATTGCATTTACTTTGTGTCTCTGGTTCATTCAGTGTAAAAGATTGTAGCACTTAAAGGCACAGGAGATTTCCCTGGGGTAGTATCTCATCTCCTGTCTACCCTTCTAGGAGCAATTTGGAATCCATGTGTGTGCTCAGGTTCTCTAAGTCTCCAAAAGATTGATATAATTCAGAACTTTCTTAAATTATCATTTTATTTATCATTTCCCTCTTTATTGTGATATCACTTGGCTTGCTTTGTTTTCATACCCATAGCAACATGTACAAAAAAAATCTATTAGAAAAATGACAGAAGATTTATTAATTTATTTTAATTTCTCTAACATTCTTCCAATCTTGATGGCCTTCACACAGAGGCCATATTCAGGGACTTACTGAATAAATACTGCTCAGCTAGTGTATCTGAGCATCTATTCTTGATGGTCTGTGCTGAGCTTTTAACTGATATGCACCGCCAGCTGCTAAAAACAATGTTTAATGGGGCAACTGCCAAGGCTGGGTTTGAAGGGTAGGTCAATGCCCTAAAATCACTAGGTGTCAAGACACAGTACAAAGCACAGTGCTTTTATTGTGTTTTACTTTGAAGTCAGTTACTGAAGCAAATAAGAGGTGACAAATAAAGTGACTGTTTAATGTCAGATGGATCGTGTCTGAAATGAATACTGTGAATGCTGAATTTGCCAATACTCCATTTCTTACTTGCTAAGACTATGATTTTTGCATTCGCAATCATCTTAGCCTTTTCAAAAATATATGTTTCTGAAAACATGCATCAGTAATAGGAATGTAATTTGTTATAGAGTAGGTGTGAAAAACTGCATTTGGGATATAAAAACGACACAAATACATGGCTTTTGATTCCGCTATTTGCAAAATTATATATGACACCATATGAGGTGTGCTGAAAGCTGCCATTTGCTGTCAGTAGTACAGTCCTATCTGTAATGGTAATTTTATATGCTCAAATATTCTCTTAGGGCTGTGTTACAGAGGTCAGAGGGGAGTGAGCAACACAAGATGTTACATGCCAACCCTTCTGAAATATTCTTCCAGTTACACTGATGGAAATAAAGATTTGAAATCCCACACAATAAATATGAAGCCATGTTCTCTTTAGAGGCACCTATTTGGTTTCTGATACTTATCCTCTTGAGTAGTTACCTCCATTCATCCAGCTTTACTTCTGTTAGTAAGGAAATGATATAGTCCTAAAGGGCATATATTTGTTTTCTTTGTAATTCAGAGAAATTCTTCTGAATTACTTTAGGACCACTACTTCTGAAATGAAGTTCAGAAGATAGCTAAATAGATGTGTGTGTGTATATATATATGCTTTATATGCAGTTTAGCTTTCTAGTGGAAAATTCAGTGTCACATATGATTAAAATGTATTTTCAAGTCAATTCTTTGTGACCTCCTTTATGATACTTGCACTTCATCTGAAGACATTTCTCCAAAGGCAGTATGTGTTAGTCCATGTTAGTCAAATGAAACAGCACAGTTAAGGATTGACTCCCAACGTGGTTATGGTAGGTGACTGGGAGCATGGCAAGCAGTGAGTCATGGTGATAAGTGAATAAAAGCGAGCAGCAAAAAGTGTGCTCATGCACTGATATTTCAGGCAAGAATGGCTCTGTCATTATTAAAACATATAAAAGTACACAGGGAACATGAAGAAATTGTACAGTTCTTTCTCACTTTTTTTTTTTTTTTAATATGGAAGAAAGAGGACTTTTGAAAGAAAATAAATGATTAAGGAATCTTTTGGTGTCTTGGAGACAGACTTGATATCGTAGAATCATAGAATATTTCAGGTTGGAAGGGACCTCAGAGGTCATCTAGTCCAACCCCCTGCTCACGCAGGGTCACCCAGAGCACATGACACAGGGCTGCGTCCAAGCGGGTTTTAAAGATCTCCAAAGAAGGAGACTCCACAACCTCTCTGGGCAGCCTGTTCCAGGGCTCTGGCACCCTCACTGTTAAGAAGTGTTTTCTCAAGTTCCTGTGGAACTTTTGGTGCCTCAATTTCTGGCCGTTTCCTCTAGTCCTGTTGCTGGCCACCACTGAAAAGAGGCCGGCCCCCTCCTCCTCACTGCCTCCCKTGAGGTATTTATACACGCTGATCAGGTCCCCCCTCAGTCTTCTCTTCTCCAGGCTGAACAGGCCCAGCTCTCTCAGCCTTTGCTCATAGGGCAGATGTTCCAGGCCCCCGATCATCCTTGCAGCCCTGCGCTGGACTCTCTCCAGCAGCTCCACATCCCTCTTGTACTGGGGAGCCCAGCACTGCACACAGTGCTCTAGATGTGGCCTTACCAGGGCTGTGTATCGGGGGACGATCACCTTCCTCGACCTGCTGGAGACGCTGTTCTTAATGTACCCCAGGATCCCATTCGCCTTCTTACTGGGCCACTGCAATGCAGGGCACACTGCTGCCTCATGGTCATCTTGTCATCCACCACRACACTGAGGGGCCTCTCTGCGGGGCTGCTCTCCAGCAGGTCAAAATCCCTAATCTGTACTGGTATCCTGGGTTATTCCTCACCAAGTGCAGGACTCGTGCCCCTGTTGAACCTCATGAGGTTTCTAACCGCCCAGTMGTCCAGTCTGTCCAGTTCCCTCTGGATGGCAGCACAGCCCTCAGGGCTATCAGCTATTCCTCCCAGTTTGGTATCATCAGCAAACTTGCCGAGGGAGCACTCCAGCCCTTCATCCAGGTCGTTAATGAATAAGTTGAAAAGGACTGGACCGAGGACCGACCACTGAGGGAAACCGCTAACTACAGGCCTCCAACTGGACTCCGCGCCACTGACTACCAACCTCTGAGCTCTGCCATTGAGCCAATTCCTAATCCACCTCCCCGTCCACTCATCTATCCCACCCCTTCGGAGCTTGCCCAGGAGGATGCTGTGAGAGATGGTGTCAAAAGCCTTGCTGAAGTCCAGATAGACAACATCCACTGCTCTTCCCTCATCTATCCAGCCAGTCACTCCTTCATAGAAGGCGATCAGGTTAGTCAAGCATGATTTCCCCTTGATGAATCCATGCTGACTACTCCTGAGCACCTTCTTCTCCTCCGCATGTCTGGAGACGGCAGCCAGGATGAGTCATTCCATCACTTTTCCAGTGATGGAGGTGAGACTCACAAGCCTGTAGCTGCCCAGGTCCTYCTTCTTGCCTTTTTTTGAAGACCGGAGTGACATTGGCTTTCTTCCAGTCCTCCGGCACCTCCCCCGTTCTCCAGGACCTTCTGAAGATGATGGTGAGCGGATTGACTATGACATCCACCAGTTCCCACAACACTCTGGGGTGCATCCCATCAGGGCCCATGGATTTGTGGGTGTCGAGTTTCCTTAGGTGCTCTCTGACCCACTCTTCCTCTACTCAGGGCAAGCCTTCCTCTCCCCAGCTCTCTTCTTGTGTCCCTAGGGCCTGGGAATCTAGAGGGCTGCCCCTGACAAGCACAGAAGCAAAGGCGGCATTCAGCAGCTCTGCTTTGTCCGTGTTTTTCGTGACCAGGGTACCCACCCCATTCACTAGTGGACCTACGTTCTCCCTGACCTTCCTTTTGTTGTTGATATATTGGAAGAAGTTCTTCTTGTTACTCTTTATATCCTTTGCCAGATTCAATTCCAAATGCACCTTAGCTTTCCTTGTAGCATCCCTGAATATGTATGTATGAAATCCTCAACTAGCAAAAATTCTCATGGTCACATGGATTCCTGACATTGCCATAGAGATTGATGTCCATATTAGATGTCCATGTTTGCTACTCACAGCAATGATACCTGAAATAAGAAAGGTAATGTTAAACCTTGAGAAGAGCTGAATCAACATCTAGACCTCTGAAGAAGTATCATAAAACCTGTCACAGATTTTTTCAGAGTATGAGACTCAAGAGCAGTCACAAAAAATCTGGATGAGCTTGTAATAGCTGAAACATATTTTTTGTTGTTTTGTTTTTATGTAAAGAAATATCACATTGTGATTTATTGTACAGTAAGTAATTGTTCATTTGTTTATATATTAACTTCTGATGTAAATTTTTTTTTTTTTTTTTTTTTCTGTTTCTAGATTGGACTAATTATTATAGCATAAAGTGTAATTATAGTATAAATATAGTACAAAGTGTTACCATATTTTTAAATATGATTGTGATATTGCTTATTTTTATTTTTGTAGAGATCCAAACCAGCCTGTTCCACAGGATACAAAGTTCATTCACACAAAACCCAACCGCTTTGAAGAAGTGGCCTGGTCCAAATACAATCCTAAAGACCAACTTTATCTTCATATTGGCCTGAAACCCCGAGTTCGTGATCACTACCGAGCAACAAAAGTTGCTTTCTGGTTGGAACTTGTACCACACCTTCACAACCTAAACGAGATATTTCAATATGTTTCCACAACAACAAAAGTCCCCCCTCCTGACATGACATCATTTCCTTACGTTACCCGACGTTCTCCTGGTAAATTGTGGCCAGCCACTAAACGACCAGCGATGACACCAGCGAACAATCCCAAGCATTCAAAGGACACCCATAAAACCGCTCCAGAGGATACAACAGTCCTGATAGAAAACAAGCGAGATTACTCCACAGAGCTGAGCGTCACCATTGCTGTGGGGGCCTCCTTGCTGTTTCTCAACATTTTAGCTTTTGCTGCATTGTACTACAAGAAAGACAAGCGGCGTCATGAGACTCACCGGCGCCCRAGCCCTCAGAGGAACACAACCAACGATATTGCGCACATACAGAACGAAGAGATTATGTCCTTGCAGATGAAACAGCTGGAACATGATCACGAGTGCGAATCGCTGCAGGCTCATGACACTCTGAGACTCACCTGCCCGCCTGACTACACGCTGACATTGAGAAGGTCCCCGGATGACATCCCGCTCATGACTCCCAACACCATAACCATGATTCCAAATACATTAACAGGCATGCAGCCTTTGCATACTTTCAACACCTTCAGTGGAGGACAAAACAGTACAAATTTGCCCCATGGACATTCCACCACTAGGGTATAGCTTGACCCTTCCCCCTTTTACTCTCACAAGCCACTTGGAAGAAATTTAAAAGGAAAAAAAAAAAAAGAAAAAGAAAAAGAAGAGGATAAAAAATAATAACGAATAATACCACCTGTAGACCACCTTGTCAAAATATAAAATAAAAGAGAAGGACAGTCATTATTTTCTTACTGCTCCTTCCCATAGAAACACTCTAATATTAAAGATCAACCACAAACCCTGTGAAATGTGAAACATGTACATTGCTATTGCGATACTGCTTTAAGATCTCAACCACTTTGATTGGAAGTTGAGGCCAGAAGAAGTCATTTAAAATAATGTTTTGAGTGTCACAAGCAAAGCAGAATCTCCTGGAACACAGAGCCAGTGACTGTACATACTGTGTTTTTTTTTTTTTTTTTTTTTTTTTAATAAATGAAATTTAAAAAAGGTTCTTTATGTGCCATATCATGAATGGCCCTTGTTAAAACAAAGACATCACCATGGGCTTTTACCCAACAATTGAAGCTGTAATCCAGAAGGGGGAAATAGAATTTTATTATTAAAAACAAAAAAGAAAAAAAAAGAGGAGGACTGACTATGCAGTAAAATACGTATAGTTCTGTGCAAAGAGATGACTTGCCAGCCTGAACTATATTTAAAGAAACTTTGTAAAAATGTACATAGCTGTGAGTTTAAAAACAAAAAAAGAAGAAGCTTTTATTGATGTTTTCAGTTTGAAAAGAGCTTTTAGAAAGATTGTGCATTCAGTTGTGACCTATGTGTATATACATTAGTCATATCACCTCTGTTTCCTCCAGGCCCAGAGGAGGATTTTCTTCTTAATTACTAGAGGTAAACAAAGACATGAGGTTTTCTAACATGTTTCATTTATACCAGGCCATGGCGTCATGCAGAGGATACAATTGTCTGTGTGACCTGYGTATTTGTCTTACAGGTTACACTAGTGCATGTTAAAGCCTTCATAGGAGATTGTTGTTCTTTTTTGAAATGCTTTTCTTTTTCCTATAATTTAATTTGTGTTATCCTTCATGAATTTACAACACAGCAATGAATCAGAAAATGGAAAAAAAAAAAAAAATACTATTTTAAGCTTGTTGAATTGAACCAAGAAATATTCAATAATATTTCAAAGAGTCCAGTTTGTAGTTCTTGATTACTGTGATACGTTAGGAAGAGTTTTGTGCCCTGAAACAAGCAAAGAAAGCCTGCTTTTCGGTCAGCCTTTCCAAGGAAAAATAGCTCTATCTTCACCAGCAGTTGCAGAAAAATCTGAGCTGAGAAAGCTCCTTCTCAGCTTGGCTAAGCAAGGGAAAAAATGCAATGTGAAGGTGTGGGAATGGTGTCTGGCTGATTGTCTATTTTTTTTAAGTGTTTAGAAGTGATCGGTGTATAAAGAATGGCTCTGTCCAGTATTTTGGTTTTCTGTTTGAGAGCATACCTGTCAGAAAATGCCAGTTTTGCTGATCTATTGTATACACAACAGTCCCATAATCAGCGAACGCAAGGTGAGAGAAGCAGAGAGATCATTGGATGTTCTATGTCTGAATCTGTCTGCAGATTCCAGAGCATCACAAGCCTGATTGGTGTAGTTTGTTGCTGATTATTTCCTTCTGCCCTTCCTTAATTGGAAAACTGAGGGCCAAGCACATCTATCCAACAACAACAGATTCATATAAACAGCTGATTTGAATGTGAAAAGCTAGGAATAGGTTCTCACAAATGAAGGTTGCTTTATATTTTGTCTTAGAAAGTTGCTGCATCATCAAGAGAGAGTAACCAAAGATATTTGAACAAAATTGGTCTGCACTTGAACATGATTATCCAGATATATTTTATATTATTAATTCACAACTAAACTGCATCAAATATCGTATGTCCCATACAGAATCTAACACAAGATGCCTTGTATCTCATTTTGATTTCTATTCTTCTTCTTCTTTTTTTTTTTTTTTTTTTGATAAAAGGCTTTGAAATATTCATCCTGAAATATAAAATCATAGACAAGGTGATTCACTGAGGTCTGTTCATCAGCACAACTCCCATGTTATAGCAGAGAGTAAAACATATACCAAAAGAAAGAAAGAAAAAGCAAGAAAATGACATGATAAAAATGCAACTAGTAGCTGATATAATTCTGTATATGTGATAAACGTATTATACCCTTGACCTGGATGACCAGGTTGAAATTTGAAGAAGAAACAAGCCCAAAGTACAAATAGTAGCAAATAGAAAACTGTCTTTTTCACTGATCCATCGCATCATGTTGATTAATGCTAACTCTATACCAGGCCATTTCCACCACCTATGTAATGCCTCAGCTCAGATGCAGCAGTTTATGACTCTTTAAAAATGAGGGAAAAAAAAGAACAAAAAAAGAACAAAAAAAAAAAAAAGAAAAAAAAAGGCAATGATGCTTAGCATCATAATCAGTTGGATATGTTTGTAATGTGAATTACAGTATTTGTTTAGTACTTCCAATTGTCTTCTGCTAGCAATATGTACAGTACTGTGTCAGGCTTGTGACATTTGGGTTAAAAAAAAAAAAAAAGAAATCCTGTAAGTGAATGATTTTAGCTTTTAAAAGTAATTACAATCAAGTTGATTTAATAATTTAATACATCCCAACCAATGTATGATTTATAAAAGGAACAGATTTATAGGGTCTTCATGGAACTCTATAATACTGATATCAAAACACACTTTTCAAACTGTAAAAAAAAAAAAGTACCTTCCCAGGCTTACATTCTTGATCTTAAGAGGCACGCAGGGTTTAATGGTTTCTTTTGTTATTGTTTTGCATTTTTTTTTGCCTTAAGTAATGATAGAAGATATATATGGCTGGACACATATGTATAAACTTTTCAGCAGCATTTTTAATAATAAAATATCACAGTATTTTCTAATGCTTTGTGCAAAGAACTACGTGTTCATCCTTTTTTTTTTTTTTTTTGTAGAAAGTCTTTCAGAGGTGTGTTTTCTCCCTCATCCCCATTCCATTATCTATTATAAACAATGCCTTGACACACAGTATTCAAATGTTAAAGTAACAGAGGTTGCACTTTTAAGTTATTGGGTTATCATGGCTTTTGTAGTTCTGTAAGCCTTCCAATAAAAGGAAAGAAGCTCAGACAATGAAGATATAAGAGAATAAGCTCCATATATTTATTATCTGTATGCACTGCAACTCCCATTGAACTAATGATTTAATTGTTCTGTTAGTATTTTCTATAGCACTGAAAGAAAGCTTAGGTAAGCAGCTTTCCATATTTGTGTATTGCTTAGTAGCTGAAAAAATGTACCTTCCAAATTTATGAACAGAATAATTCAGATAAGTATAGTACATTCAGCCTCCATAGGTAACTATACTTTCATTTTATATTTAGACTTTAGATAAATAAAGAGTTTTGTTAGAAAAAAATATGTAAGAGTAGCAATACATATTTGTTACTCATATATATTTAAGGGATCTACATATTTTGCAGGTACGTGAATGTCATTCTTCCCCAAGTTGAGTAAGCAATTGCAGTTTCTTCTTTTATACTAATAAATTCCATTTGTCAACTAAACCTCCTTTCACTGGAAAGTTGCATAGATATTTTGGTGATTTGGGTTGGGTAATGTTTGCTTTCTGTAACTATTCTGTTGAATAGAGGTACTAACAATAACGTTTGATGAATTTTGAGAATATTATTGAAGAGTATTTGCAAAAAGCAAATTCTAAATGATTCATATCAAGCTTTTGATATGAAGAATCAAGCTTTGAAATAGAAACGTATTATGTGCCTACTGACCTAATCAAACAGCTTGAATTTTGAATATTGAATTTGTATATAGAGCTTTTGCAAATAAACTGCAGATTTAGAATTGTTCATTAAATATGTTTAATTACAGTTACGCTCAGAAAATTCACAGCTTGCTTTGAGGAAATTCATACACAAGAAAAGAACCTACAGTTGTGTCATTTCTGTGAACTGTTCACCTTAACTGCTTGGTGAACTCAATAAATCACCTTCCTTTCAGTTAAACAACTTCACATTAAAAAAAAAAAAAAAAGAAAAAAAGTCAGAAGTCTGTTCATGCTAATCAAGTATTGTGTTGTTTTCTTTTTTACTGTCTGAAATATAAATCTGCAGATTAGTATGTTCCTATTTGCACTTTGCTAAAAGAGGTTTTTTTTTTATATTTAATAACACATAAAATCAGATGACATTATACCATGACAATTATGTGCTTGTCTCAGATTTGTAGTTTTACATTCATATTATTTCTTGTCAGCTATTCCTCATATTTTCATCTATGACTCTTTGACATCATAAACCTCATCATCCTGAATCTCTCCAAAGGCCATTAGTAGTTGGTAAAAACTGAGAAATTTTGTTAGAAATTATGATATTATGCATTCAATATCATAATGTATTAATATGCTTATTTGCACTTAGATTTAGATTAAACTGAAAAGCAAAACATTGACTTTTTATCAATGCAAATTAAAATTATGGGAATTGGAAATGTTTAGACATCTGGTCTGAGCTACAGCATAATAAACAACATTTCACTTTGGAATTGAGTTTTGATTCAAACCATTTTGTTTTGTATTCAGCTGTAGCCTCCAAGCTTCTCACTATTTCTTCTAAGAGGTATAACTTAGGTTTGTTTTTATGCCTTTAATGGATATGTTTTTAGTTATAGTTTTAGGCATACTCTTTCTGTCTTTTATGGCCCACTCAGGCTACTTTACCTCAGTTATACCCGGCTCAGTCACGGATGGAATAGATGCAATTTAAGCCATGAAGCCCAGACCACAGACAGAGTTTTGTCTTAAACTAAGTGAACTGCAGCTTGCCTGGAACACTGTGGTAATCAAGGAGAACGTACACTAATACTGAAACAATTCAAACTGAAAATAAACATGAAAGAAATTGTGTGCATTCATTTTTTTTTCCAGTGGAAATTTGACAAATGTTGACAAAACCTACAACTTACTTCTTCATTTTCTGTCTATTCTCTTCAAATATCAGTCAGCAGAACATTTCCAGGCAGG